CACTTAGGTTTATGTTTTCAGAAACTTTTTTTTTCCAGTCTGGCTGCAATTAAAATAAACATATTTTGAGCTGTTAATATTATTGTGCAAGAATTACATCTCGTAGATTAATTACTAGAACTTGCAACTCTTGAAACTATGTGAGATTCAAACAGAAATTCAACATTATGCCATTAGAATTCACAGTAGAATTCAACTAGATAAAATTTCTCTAAGAGAGAAAATTGGAGACTGAATATACATTTGGACTATAACTATTTCACAGACTTTCTTTTTTTCCTGCTATTGGCAGTGCCAAATTATTTCAGCACACGTCTAATTTTATTACCTATGGTTATGGTGGAAGAGTTAAGTTACCAGTTTAATCCATCAATTAAAAAAAGCTGGAAATGTTTAACATTCTAATGCAAGACTGGTCCATTATTCAACTGCCATCACACCATGAGATGCAAAATAAAGAATGAAGACAGGCATGTTTTTAAGGACTTCCATATGGCATGGTGCAACAGGCTCCCTTCTCCAGCCTTTAGACCACCACCAACAGGCCAGATGCTTTTGAATTTATTAACACCACTATTTTATTCATTGGGTTTCCTTCCCCAGATTACCAGTATAGCCTTGTGCAGCAAGTTCCTTTCTTCCTTTTAACAGATTTTTCTTATATGTCACAAGCTTTACAACAATTTGAACAAATTTCTTTTGTTATTTTTTGTTTCACCTCTTTGAACAGAACCTTACAACCTTACAAGATTCACTATCATCAGCACCCATACTGCTGGCTTTTGTGAGTACTTCATGAATTATCTTCTGTTCCCTTTCTCACTTTGAATGGGCAAGGTTCAGATAACTTTTCATGATATAAGTGCCTGACAAAATGCCTCTAGACAACTCATAACCAACTTTCCTTTCAAAATCATGTTGCCAAAGCAATAATTCCAACAAGTAAAAATAATCTCCTTTGATCCATTGTGAAGCTATAAATCCTGAACATGTAAACAGCTTCACTGACCTGAGTGGACTAGCTGGGTTACTTGTAAGAGCCATACTCACACAGTAGCCATAAAATCATTAACACACCATAATCTGTTAAAATTATTGAAGGCATTAAGATCATTTAGGATCAATGAACACACATATATAATGAAGCTCATCATATCTTTAGTACTGAACAGGCTTAAAAAAATTCATTTTCCTGGAAGAATGAAGAGAAAACGTGTGTAATGAGGCTGACTTAATTGAGAGAGTTTCAGAAATCAAAGCAAGTAAAAATTAATTAAAGGCCACATGGTCTATTGGTTAGAGCTAAGATCCAGCAGGCTCCTGGGAACTCATCTGAGCAAACAGTTCATTGTGTGTCCTTGAACCTCAGTCAACACAGCTGAATAGCTGGGGGAGGGCATGGCAGCAAGACCCTCATTAAAAAGAAAAATGCTGCAGCTCATCTTTTCTGGGTACATTTATTTCATTTTCTCACTCCACTAAGCACCCTCCTGTAGACAAACACTCGCACCTCTTTATATACTGGACTTTTTGTTTTGTCAGTCCAATAAATGTCTCACTTTGAAGCAGATTCGCCAAGAGCATGTGTCCCCGAATGGGCACGGCCAGCTTCCAGCTATCAAAGTGCTTGGAATTGGGATTTGGTAAACCTGTACATTCTGTAGACTATGGAACGGTGTCCTTGCTTAGTACTCTACAATAAAACAAGGGTATGGCAGAGATTAAAGTCCTCCTGTGTTCAATTGCATCTCAAAGTAGCTAAAATTGAGAGGACAAACCAGAGACCGGTTACTCCCTTTGCAGGGTGGCTGATTTAAGGGTTGGGGCAAAGAACTGGGCACTGTGTTGACAGTATGTTTGTCCTTATATAAATCTAGGCAGGAATGCATGTGAGAAAGGGCGAAGAACTTCACCATTCACCCGGGAGGGATGACAATCATGGTACAACTACTTTGATAGCCAGGGTAGGGACTTATATGGAGCTGTTCACAGGCTCACTAATGATACCTTCAAAAACAACAAGGAGTCTGGTGGCACCTTAAAGACTAACAGATTTATTTGGGCATAAGCTTTCGTGGGTAAAAACCTCACTTCTCTATGCATCTCTATGCATCCAAAGAAGTGAGGTTTTTACCCACGAAAGCTTATGCCCAAATAAATCTGTTAGTCTTTAAGGTGCCACCAGACTCCTTGTTGTTTTTGTAGATACAGACTAACACAGCTACCCCCTGATACTTAATGATACCTTGTTGTTTCAGACTTGTACCGCCTATCAGCTCAGGGCTTTAAGATGGCTACAGAGCCAGAAACTCTCATAATGAAGTTAATAGTCTGCCAACGCAGCTCTTCTTATTCTCAAGTTATGTAATAGCAGAAGCTTCGGCTGTTCTCATTATTGCAAGCACATATCAGGGGTCCCTCTCCATAGGAATGGGTCATACTGTAAATGGTTAAGAATAAAAACAACAAAACAAGGACTAAATACACACACCATGACCCCTTGCAGTTCAGCAACCTCCAAGGCTGATTGCTGGGGTTTTGATTAAGCAACTAGCAGAAAGCCTGGACAAAGAGATATGTCATACAATGCTTCCTCAATGCAGCTTAGATGTATTTCTGACAGAAGCAACTTCCAGAAACAAAGGCTTGCTACTGAGAACACACTGCTGTCTGTTCCTATTCACATGTTAGCAGGCAATGTTTTAACTTAAAACACAACTAGGTAAAATATTTCAGTTAAAAAAATTAGTAATTTACTCTCCGCTAAGTGGTGTAAGTGTTATTAATCTGTTTTCCTTTATGCTGTCTGCATTCACACACATCGATAAAACAATTAGATATTATACATAGATTTCAGATTGAAGCTATTAAAATGTTACAGTGGATACACTGGAGTAGCGGGACATTGATTTCTAGCTCATAAATATGACATTACAAGATTAATAAATGTGTATGTACATTCTGTAAATAATATTGTTAGTTTAATTAGGGCTTTACTTACATGGCCTCTTTCTGATAACGAAAAAGGGCCACATCCTCAGCTGGTGTAAATCCGAATGTACTTCAGTGGAGCTATACTAATTACACCCGGTGTGGATCTGGCCAATTGTATTTTTTTCTTTCGTTTCCATTTATACCACTGTACACGTAAAGAAAACTATACTGTTATCACTCAAACTAAAGGACTGGGGGGAAAGGTAGTATACTCCATTAGTTCAAGAGCCTCTACGAAGGACTTGTCTACATGGGGAAGTTAGTGTGACATAAGCTAGCATGTGAATTTGGAATGCCATAGCTATTCTGCACTAACCCCCTGCGTGGAGACTTTTGTTTTGCACCGAGTGCCATTTTGTGACTTAGATTAATCCACTTTAAAGTGGACTAAAATGAGAGCTCTGTAGGGGTACTACAGGATTGGATAATTACTTAATAATAACTAAAGGATTGTGCTTAATATACAGTACAAACTATTAACAAAACCTTTTGCAATTTTTGTTTATTTCAGCAATTTTGATCTCTTAAGGCTGAAGCCCACATTCACTTTTATGCTTAAAATGTCCTGCTTCTTAACTACATATGCTTTTTGATTGCCCTAACGCTAATGCTGAGATGGCATATTTTCCCTTTCCCTTGGCAAATATGAAAAGAGTAGTAGCTCATTGCCCAAGAGATATTACCGTTGAGTCTCACTCAGAACTCCCAGTAAGTCGGGCACAAAGATCAAAGATATTCTGTGCTCCAAAAAGAGAAACAAGATTCTAGCATGAACATCTCAAAAACATGAACAGGATTTAATATCTTTCAGGAACTGCCTGCTCAGCCAAAAAAAACAACAAAAAACAAAAAAAAAACAACCCACCACCACCATAAAACCAGCAATAAACAGCAAAGCAAACACAACCACATTTTCAATACCTTATTTTTTCTATACGCTGTTATTATTGGCTAAGGTAAGCTTGCATTGTGCTTGAACTTTCCCAGGAGATTTACTGTTCGAAGTAGTTACAAACAGGGCTTCTTAAAATAGATTTTTAAAACAAATACTGTAAACTGCATGTAAAAATTAAGCCCATCAGAACTAGAGATGGAACCATTGAAATAAGAGATGAGTCCTGACAGTTTACAGAACTTTCCTTTGAGATGCCCATTCAGCCACAGAATGAGAGGGAAATGAAAGGGAATAATCGGAGTTCAACCATAAGTAATTCACAGAACTATACTTTATACAGTTTATTTCACTAGAGATTGAAATTTTATACATAGTATAAAGGGGTATCCTGATATCACACATATACTTACTTTACTGTACTGTTTATGAACCAATTTTATTTTTTACATAATACAGTATTAAGTACCCTATTCATTCAAACAGTATTCAGAAATCTTAAAAAAAAAAACTACATAAATGGATGTTTATCATATGCACAGTGCAAGAATGTTTTTAGAACATTTTAATCACACAATGTGAATCTAAAATACACCACTGTGATTTAAAACTAATTTAAAATTATGACGCCCCATGTTGTATTAGCAAGACTTGATTAATCCCTGCATGAATCACAAAGCAGTATTAAATTCCAGATAAACAGCAGCAGTTTATAATTACGATTTCAACAGAAACCTTCTGTAACAACCTGAATTTTACAATGTGTTTTACCACCTTCTGCTTTTGCCAATGGTCTAAGGAAACAGAGAAATGGGATGTTTTTCATTTTGGAATTCTCTGATTGTTAATGCAGTTCAAACTGTATTATTACAGTGAAGGGAATCCTGTCCCAGATCTTGAGGGCATTTAAGAGTGGTCAGAGGTGTAAAGACAGGGAGAATACTTAGTGCTTTGGTAGGAAAGCAGAGGATTCTTCCCTTTTGCAAATTTTAAAAAACCCAACCGATTACAAATCAGGTGGTAAAATTTACACAAAACGACTGTGGTTAGAAAACATGTAAACAAATCAGAGAGTGATTCTTCATTTTCCCTTTTTGCAAAGTGAGGCTGTGGATGAATATCAGCTAATAAGAAGCAGACGCCTTCCTTGGAAGAATGACTTCACCATCACACAGAATGTATGCTGTCCTTGTCAATAGTCACTAATGTGTTTTTCCCCTCCCCCCAAAGTTCATGAATGTTTCAAGTTCAATAAATAGTAGAAAAATAATCCTTTACTTAAAAATCTTGAGATGCATTGTCCCAGGTCCCACACAGCAATTGTAAGAGCAATGTACTTTCTAAAAAACGAACGGAAACCTCAAAAAACCCATTTCTGTAACCAGCACCTTTTTTGTCTCTGGTTGCACAGCTTTATACTCTTCCAGTTAAGGAAAGTAAAACATCTTCATCTTCTTTGAGCTCTCCCTTCTCTTGGCTCAGCTTAACAGGGTTCCTAAAGCTTTAGTTAGTGTATAAACTTTTATCCCAGTGTTTGGAGGTCTAACAGGCCTCCCGCTGCATTTTATTAAAATGTTATGGCAGGTCCATTCATCATGCTGATTTTCCCTCCATTCCAGAGCCAACGTTACATTTTGTAAATGTAAATGTTGTGTGCATGTAACAGTTTCTTTAGGAAGGTAGTTAAACCACTCCTGGTAAAAGCACAACCACAAAGCTCCCCATTGCTGTATGGATCGTTGCTAACAAACTGCATTTCTTTTGTCATCTTTTCCCAAAGAATAAAGTGTATTAGCATTCCGCATCCACAGTGTGCACTGTGACTGCCGCCTGTAAGTGGTGGCTGTGATGAAGAGTTGGATGGTGCAACCTGTAGTGGTGAAACTTATGACTCAAGAGTGCAGCTGTTTGAGGTGGGGTATCCAGATCTAAATCTTCATCATGGTTTCCAACGTCAACACCAGCTGATAGTGGATCATTATTGCATGGAGGATTTTCACTGTCTTCCTGAGGACTCATAGTGCTATAGCCTAGAACACAAAACAATACCAGTAAGAACAGATGGTCTAGGGCAAAAGGCCCAACATTTCAAGGTACTGAACGCCCCAAAACCCATTAAGATCAATGGAGGAACTCAATGATTTACAGAATAGGGCCCAACAAACAAACAGTTTTAAAATAAAGACACACAGTAGACAATCTTGTACAGTTTTAAAATAATTCCTTCCTCCCTCTTCTCCCTGCTTTTAAATAGCCTGTTGGCAGCCTCACTTTGAAATATCTGGTTCCCTACCAAACAAACAAACAAACCTATCTACCTACTGGCATTTATTTAAAAATATACAATAAAGAAGAAGTATGGTTTTGGAGGCAAAAGCCTTAAAAATTATTTGGACTTTGCAAATAGATAAGGAACAAAAACTAAGTCAAATTTGAGCTACACTCTTTAAATTGTACATTATTCCCATTCCTAATAAACTAAAACTTCCTTAGAAAAGCCATCAACTATTCTAATGGTAAATACTTCACATTATCTCTGTATGATTTTTTAAAATGATATATATATTTAAAATGAAAAAGGTCCTTGGAGATGAAAGTGTTCTATTTTCAAAGTTCTGGGATTTTTGTAAAAAATATTACAGAACTTTCCTTAAAGTTTCAGAAGTAACAGAATATTAATATTCTGTTGAATCTACTGCCAGCATCCATCAGTACTTACCTATCAGCTGCCCTGCTCAGATTTGTGACAGCCAAACCAATCTGCTTATAGACAGCTGAGTAGAAATGTTTTGTAACTAAATATATACATATCCATCCATCCATCCATCCATCTCCACACACACACACACACACACACAGTGCTGAAGAGTTACATCTAGTGAATCTATAAGAACGTACTTAGAATGGATTAATCAAGCCAAATCCTGCAGACCCTTTTCTGGCTAAAATCTCATGAAACGAAATGACTAAAGCAGGGAGACAGAGGGAAATACTCTAAGTGAGTATCACAATGTACCCAGCCTACCAGCTGCCTGAAATCTTGCCTGATCTCAGACAAGTGCCACAGCATATCTACTGCAAAACCCTCAAAGCAGCCTGGTATGCCTGTGTTCAAGGTACCGCATGCATCCTTGCAACTGATCAGACTGGATCTCTTACAAGAATATTAATTTGGTCTACCAAGAAAGGAAGATAATCAAAATACATCTTATATCACCTAACTCCTAAAGAGGCTTTCATCTCATGCAGCTAGTTTAATCTAGAATACCAAAAGTGAATTTCAGTTTGGTCATGGCATTTCCTGAACTTCATTTATGTGCTGTAACTATGAGAACAGTATAACAGTTCTGAAAACAAAACCCACAAAAAATAGAAAATTTAGTTCCCTGCTAAATGAGGGCTTATGTTTTGTTACCTTTCAACTGTTTTAGGGTCTTGAGACTAACGTAAATTAGTTGAAAAACTGGTTACAGGACTGTTAAAAAATACAGTTTAATGCTATTAATTTCACCATGTATTTGCGGTGTGGTCTATCAACCTCTGTCCAGCTGTTTTCTAGTCTTGCATTTCTTCTACATAAAAAAATCTCTCATTTCTTTGAGAGAAGAGATGCTGAATTGTATGTGACTCAAGTGTTAAACTGCAATCTTTCACATATATTAAGGTGTACAACTGTCTTTTCACTGTGCTGCTGCTTTAGTCATTGATAAAGCTTCACACATACTTAGTACTTTTTATCTTCATGGACTTTACAAATATTAAATAACTTAAGACTCAGCATTCAGGTGAGATAGACTAGCAACATTTTACAAACGAGGATAGTATGGCCAGGTCTACACCTAATAATTAGGTCAACCTAGCTATATGGCTCAGGGCTATGGAAAAATTCGCACTCGATGTGATTTAGTTGGGTCAATGTAAACTCCACTGTAGATGCAATGAGATCGACAGAAGAATTATTCTGTCGACCTAGCTGCCACCTCTTGGAGAGATGGATTAATTACACTGGCGGAAAAACCTCCTCTAGTGACGTAGGGAGTGCTACCATGGCACAGCTGCATTGTCGTAGCTGTGCTGCTGTAGTGTAGACATATCCTGAGGCTCAGAAAGGTTAACTCACTTGTGCAAGGTCACCTGGGACTTCAGGGGCAGGTCCGGGGTTATTACTGCAGGGTTACGGGGGAACACAGAAGATAACTATGGGGTTGGGAAGCAGCGGTAGAGGACAGAGCAGGAACAAGCAGTGGACCTCACAGCCCTGCTGGAGAGTGCCTGGTTCCCTGGCCCAATGGGCAACCGTACTCTACTCCCAGGCAACCCCTCCCATTCCAAAGAGAACACTGTTTTTGTTATCTGTACGATCGGTAGTTTTTATGATTGTTGACTTCCCTCTCTGAGAAGATACTGACCAAGAGTAGTGAAAAGTGACTAATGATCTTGGCTGCCTCAATTTTTGGATTCTCAAACTGATCTCTGAAAAATCAGGGTTCTCTAAAGGTGTGTCACCTTCGGCACCTGAAATCACTCGTTACTTTTCACAATCTGAGTCATAGTGTCCCTTTAGCTGAGAAAAAACAGGATGATGATGGGGAATCTGGTCTCTCCTATCTGCGATGAAGCTATGGATATCTAAAAAAGAGGAGGTTACTTACCTGTAACTGGAGATTCTTGAGATGTGTGGTCCCTACCTGTATTCCACTGTGAGGTTACACATCCGCACCACACCCCCAGGGTCGGAGAGTTTTGACAGCAGTGCTGTTGGTCCGCGCAAGTGCCCTGGCTCGCTTTGTGCTTCTGACTGAGGCAATTTTGCTCCCCCTTGCTTGTTGATATACAATACAGTTGCAGTGTTGTCCGACATCAGGATGCGGTGAGTGGATGAATGGGGAAAAAAAACTCATGCTTTCCTTACTGCCCAAAGTTTCAGGACATCAGTGTGCACACCCTGGACTCTTGGGGTGTCCCTTGTGTGGTAGTGTGGTTGTCCACATGAGCTTTCCAGACTAGTCGGGATGCGACAGTAATGACAGTTTTGCCTGGAGAAGAGGGGGGACACCCATACATACATGATAAATGTTTGTTCACCACTGGAGGGAAGGACAGTATGTCGATGGGAACTGTGAAGGGAAGGTTCATAGATGACTTGGTGAGGACACTGACTGTAGTCTTGCTTGAAGATAACGAAGGTGGAGTCTCACGAATGGAGTGATCTATGGGCATGAGGCCACGTGGACAAGTATGGACAGGCATGCCTTGGTCGTCACTCAAGGATTGCTCATAATGCGAGCTAATGATCTCGTTCATAATCTGGAACCTGCCTGTGAGTAAGCCTCGCAGTGATAGAGTTCAAAGTTGCCCCAATGAAGTCCACAGACTGCGTGGGGGTGAAGACAGACTTTTCGATGTTTACACTGACTCCGAGAGAGGTGAGGAGGTGGAGGATCATAGAAATACGTGTGTAGGCCTCTTGGTAGGATCTGGTGGTGAGCAGCCAGTTGTTGAGGTACAGGAAAAAAAGTAGGCCATTATGTCTGACATGAGCAGCCACCACTGAAAATACCTTTGAATACCCTGGGGGCGGTAGCTATCCCGAATGGTAGCACTCTATATTGCAAATGGTCGGATCCCACCATAAATCTGAAAGTGTCTGTGGATGGGACAAACATCTATGTGAAAGTAGGAGTCTTTCATATCGAGAGCCATGAACCACATGCCTTTATCTAATGATGAAATTATCGCAGCCAACATGACAGACATCTGAGCTTGTGGATGAAGCAACTCAGATGACAGAGGTTGAGGATTGGTCTTCACCCGCCCTTCTGGTTGGGTATGAAGAAGTAGGTCGAGTAAAATCCCATTCCATGATATTGTGGTGGAGGAACACGTTCTATTTCCCCTCACTGCAGTAAAGAGCTCACCTCTTGGGTGTGAATACTGTCTCATGAGAGTGGTCCCCGAAGAGATAGGAACAGGGGTTTTTGAGGAGGTAGCATCACAAACTCGATTGTATAGCCATAGTGGATGATGTTCAGCACCCACCTGTCTATTGTACTTCAGGTGTTGAAAAAGAGTGCTAGACGACCCCCAAATGGAGTAGTGCGGTTGTGAGGTGTTAAGCTTATCGGTTCACGGATGTCGAGCTCGCATCAAAAATATCTCCTGGCCAAGGGTTGGGATTGAAATGTCAAGGCCATAGCAGGAGGCATGGGAAAGAGGGACCTTTGAACCTTTTTTTTTTTACGTGATGGTTTGGATGGTCTTTGGTGGTGAAAGTGTTGGCACCTATACTGTGGTGTGGCTGACTGGTGATGAAACTTCCTTTTGGGGGCAGGTGTATAAACGCCCAGTGATTGAAGGGTGGCCCTAGAATCCTTGAGGGTGTGTAGGGAATCGTCTGTCTTCAAGAAGTGGGATTCATCAAAAGGGAGGTCCTCACTGGTGTTCTGGACCTCCCTGGGGAATCCTGTAGAATGGAGCCAGGACTCCCTTCACATAATGATGACCATAGCCATGACCCTAGAGGAAGTATCAGCCGTGGTTCTGGCTATTAATTTACCTTCCTCAATGAGAGCTTGGAAATAGGTACAGTCCTAATGTGGGAGACTGCTGGTGAATTCCTCAAACAGCATAACTGAGGAAATAGCACTTGATAATTGGCTATCTTGAATTGTAAACTGGAGGATGAGAAAACCCCCTTCCCAGTAGGTCTAAACACAGGAGCTGACTTGTATTTTTACTGGTGGGCGCTCCACCTCTCCCCTGAGGCCCCGCTCTCGCTCCACCTCTTCCTGCCCCCACTCTGCCCCCTCCCCCGAGGCCCCGCTCTCCCTCCTCTCTGTCCCTCCCTTCCCCAGTGCATCCCACCTGCTGAACAGCTGATTGGCAGCCAGCCCTGGGGGCTGGAACCAGTGTGGCCGGTGGGTGCTGAGCACCCCCTATTTTTTTCCATGGGTACTTGAGCCCCAGAGCACCCAAGTAGCTGGTGCCTATGGGTCTAAGCATTTTCCTTTTTAACTACTGGCATAGATCTAGGATTTTGCTGCTTGGATCTTTTGGAAGCAGCCTGAACCACCAGAGAATTGGGAGGTGGGTGGGAAAATAGAAATTCTGAGCCTTTAGCTGGTACATGATAGTCTCTCCACACCCTTGAGGGTAGGAGCACAGGTGGCGGGAGTGTGCCACACCATTCTAGCCAGCTCCTTGTTGACATGGAGGGCAAAACTTGTGAGCGTTGAGGTATGGAGGATGTTCAAGAGCTTGTCGTTGAGTGTCTTGGATTTCCTCTAATGGGATCTGAAGTTCCCCAGCAACTGTGCAGCAAGTCTTGGAATTGCTTGACGTCATCCAGGGGAGAAGGAGATGTCGAAGTCACTGCTTTCTCCAGTGACGATGATAGTAGTTTAGTCAGTTCTGATGGAACCGCTGGAACCAGAGCATAGTATTCTCCTCGGTCGTCAGATCCGGGGGCAAGTTTGATGGTTCCCTTGGAGGGGAAGCAGGAGGCGACTCCCTACAGAACTCAGGAGGAGGGTACTGGTCCCAGGGTCCTCAATATGGCCAGTTGGAGGGATCAATGGATGCTCGTAGAGGTCCCGTGCTAATGACTCAGAGGCAGATGTGGCGGTGGCTGATCCCAGGGTCATGCATGTCTTTTGGGAAATGGGTAAGAGCAGTATGGGAGAGGCAGTTCTTCCGGTGGGTCTGAATCCCCCAAGGAAGAAAAGGTTGACTGGGTTCCAACAGTGGCAACTCTGGTGCAGCCAGAGACATGTATGTTATATGTGGTGGGGGTGACAGGCTCAGTACTGCAGGGAGATCTCTTAGGGGAGATGAGTTCTCTGGGGACTGAAGGTCCTGATGGAGTGGGGGGATTCTGGATCTGGGAAAGCAAAAATATCTTGTAGAGCAGCCATGGATCCAGATCTCCCATGAGTGAGAGGGATTCTATCTGTTTGGGCTGCCGGAGCTGGTGCCGAAGCTGGTATCCGGCCGTGGTCGGACTTCACCGGTATTGGGAGGGTCCTGGGTCTTGTGAGGAGCCAGGGATGGCAGTACCAGTGGGGGCCATTCTGGAGGTGGTGCAACCCAATGTTTCTGACCTTTCTTCTCATGCCTAAAGGACTTAGTACGTCCTAAGTCCTCATGAGCAGAGCTGGTGGACGGAAAGTCCGATTTTTTTAACATTGACTTAGAGGAAGACTTAGTCCCATGTTTATAGCAATGCTTCCTAATATCCTGACTGGGCCCTGCCATGGGATCTGTGGTAATGGATTCACTGGCACCAGAGTCAGACTTTGTAGTGGGAGGTGCACTCCTTACTGAATCAGGCTGATAAACAGGGAAGGTAGTTCCCAGCCTAGGTCCAATTGGGGTCTCATGGCCACCTGCATGAGATATTTATAGAGGCACAGAGCCCGCCCTTTTTGGGTATGGCTGGGGAAGGACTGACAGATACTGCACTGAGCTTCTCCCATGCCATAGAGGCAGCGTTGATGGTCATCACTGACCGAGAAAGATGGCAGGCAGGAGGTACAGAGTTTGAAGCCCAGAGCTTTGGGCATAGTGCGGTAACCAAATGGGTTCGGAAAGGTGGGCACTCCATAATCTACTCTAAAACGACTAAAACTATTAAAAACTGGTAAAACTACTAATCTACAAATTATTTAAGAATTAATAGAACTATTTACACCTGTTTATTTAGAATGACATCAGAGATGAGGACACTGAAGGTTCCGACCCAGACCATGCAATGGTGAGAAGGAACTGAAGAGGCGGTTGGTCTGCCCTGCCCTTTACCATCTTAGTAGGAAGCACAAAGAGAGCCAGGGTCCATGGATGGACCAACACACACTGCTTTCAAAACTCTCCAACTCCAGGCACATGGTGTGTATGCATAACCTCACAGTGGAATACAATAAGGACCATCACTCGAAGAAGAAATAAAGCAATATGTATCTTTAAAGAGCTGGGCAGGAGATTACCCCTGCTGGCACCTCAGTGCTACACGCTGTCAAGGCAGATAGCGAGGACTTTCTAGGAGTGTAAGATATCAAACTCTAATAATACAAAATCAGATGTAGTAACATAATGAGTCTGATTTAAACACAATAAAGATGACATTCAGCTACTGCCAACACCCCGGCAGACAGCCTTGTCTACCCTTGACTTGACTTAACTTACACTGAGTCTTCCTGATGGGTCAATAACTTGATACAGATCTAATTAAAAAGAGTTACCCAACTGTTTTTCAGAGTGGAAAGAAATATGATGACAAAATGATAACCCCCCAAAAGGGTTGACAATGGAAATGTCATCAGACACTAAATGACACTAGCACAAACACCATTACTATAAATATAGTAAATGTCGATAATCTTTTTAAAAGTTGACTTGCACATAAAATGTCCTCCCACTGCAGCAGTATGTGCTGAATGCCCAACAGAAAGGCTAAGGGAGTATTTGACCCATAGTCTAGTCCAGGCTTAGTTTAGCCTAGCTACAGAAGGCATACAGCAGATATTATTGGAGTGGAGAGGTAGTTTTATAAAAAGCTGTGAAGGTCACCTTTAAGAGAAGAGTGCCAGCTTCACAGCAAAGGGCATGGAATTAGTTCTCTGCTGTCATGAAGACAATAAACTTTACCTCTTTGAATGGTTTTTGAGATGCTGAATTAACTGTCAGGCTTGGCCATGGGAAAATGGTGTGGTAAACTTGGTCACTTTTCTATCTGTTTGAATTCCAGTCAATCAGACATCCAACAAAACTAACACTATATAAGAATAAGATGCAGAGGATGCGGCATTAAGCTAAATAGCTCATGTTATAACACTGCTCTTACAAAAATAGCTTCATTGCTGGACAGTGTCATGCACTCAGAGGTGTCAAAATTGTTTAACTATGAAGCAGTAAGGAGCAAAGATTTTTTTTTTTTTGGTCTGGCCTTATCCCCTATGTTGCCAAACATCTGAAACAAGCTGAGAATGCAGAGTCATTGGGGGTTTAAAGGTCTTACCGTGATCACTCTCTGTTCCCGATCGCCCCCAGTACCGACGTCTACGTTCTGGACTGTGGGCATGCCGCTCAATTACAGCTGCTATAAACCGAGTGTTGCTGACTAGGAAAGAAAAGAGAGCAGGGTTTGTTTTAAACAGAGTGTTTTTATTAAGTTATATTAATGGAGCAATTCAATAACAAGGAATCAGACATGTTTTATAAACTACTTCTTTCAGATGCTGCTATGAAATTCTTACAGGGATTACGAGCTTCAACATCACAGAAATGATGGGACAAAGGTTTGCTGAGAAGTGCATGTCCTCGTCCAGTGCTGAGAGCAGGATGAACATAACTCTGATTTACCCCACTGTCTGCTTTGATTAATGAAAGTTATGAGGGTTCCCTGGAGCAATGCCAGAACACAGAGACCTAGGAGGCATCTAAAGCCTGCTCAACATTTAAACTGAAAAGCAAGACAGACTCACATGAGCTATATTAGTATCAATGGATACAAGCTGCAGAACTCAGATCCAGCTCTGGTTTTTGAACCCTTGACGTTGTTCAGATCTTGAATTTTGATTCAGCCCATTTTAAGGACAGGGCCACATGGGAAATTCTGATCTCTCCCAAAATCCAGAGGCCTTGGGCCCATCACTATACAATAGAATTATAGTAGTACAGTCATAACTGAACGGCGAAGAACTAAGTGCAAACAGGATTTACTTATTTTTCATTTAAGGCTTTTGTTGAACTGAAGCTAGGAATTAAAGGGCCAGATTGTGCCTGCCCCTTCCAAGGCTGCTCATGGGCAGGAGCTTACACACCCCATGCAGTCATAACTGCAGTCCCTCAGCATTCTAAAAGCCATTCCCAGAGCTGGTTGGGCCATGGAGGGGGGCCCCCCCACTACAGAAAGGATGTGGACAAATTGAAGAGAGTTCAGCGGAGGGCAACGGAAATGATTAGGGGGCTGGAGCACATGAGTTATGAGGAGAGGCTGAGGGAACTGGGATTGTTTAGTCTGCAGAAGAGAAGAATGAGGGGGGATTTGATAGCAGCCTTCAACTACCTGAAGGGGGGTTCCAAAGAGGATGGAGCTCGGCTGTTCTTAGTGGTGGCAGATGACAGAACAAGGAGTAATGGTCTCAAGTTGCAGTGGGGGAGGTTTAGGTTGGATATTAGGAAGCACTATTTCACTAGGAGGGTGGTGAAGCACTGGAATG